ACTAAAGTTCCGAGATTAAAAAACTACATCAATGCTTTTGTCAGGCGAGATGCACCCAACAAGAAAAACCAAAACATTTCATCACTGCTAATGTGATCTTTGATAGCAAGTGTGCAAAGTAGCATGAACTCTATTAGAATCCAACCTTTTCCCAACCTACTGTCAAAAACTGTTTTGAGGACTGAAAATAAAATACCCAAGCAGCCCACAGAATGATGAGGCCATAGTGGATGCAACTATTTAATTTTCTTCCCTATTTTGCATAGCTGGAAGAAAAAAAAATGAGAAAATTACATCTCAGTGGCCCAATTTGTAGAACTGATGCAGAGGCATGAGAAATCTGCAGTAAAAACTCCCATGACTTAACATTTTGCAGCTGCGCTACAGAATTAATGCACATCATTATATTTCATGAATTAGGAGATCACTCTTCTGAAATTGAACACTGCGTATTAAGGCTACCTAAAGCAATTTCAGCATGCCAATCACTGAAGTACCTATGGGCCAATTAAAATATTGCTGATGCAAATGACCCGCGATCCTCTGCTTCAGCCCCATTAAGCCCACGCTGCTGTGGCTGCTATTCGTCATTTGACAAGCTCCACAGGGTGACTGACTCCAGCCCTGAATGAAGCATTGACCCCCATGCTGGTTTCATTTTGGCAAATTGGGTTATTTTTACAAACTCAGACAGACCACTTCCCAAAAAGGGGAAGGAAAGAAAAGAAAAAAGGGAAGAGTATGGTGATGATTATTGTTGTTATTATTATTGTGCATGTGTTTGTTTTTAATACTAAAAAATAAAATTCTGACATGAATGGAAAGTGCTTAGAAAGAGGACAAAGAGAAGTGACGGAAAAGGAAAGAATCATGCATTTCAATTTTAATCTAATAGGAAAAGCTCTACAAGTTGCTGCTATTAACTGAAGTAACTATGACTATCTCTTTCACAGATTGTGTGGCTCCTCTGCACTTGACTCTCATATATATTTAGCCCTAGCCATGGTTAAATGTTTTACTAGTACACATCAACCACAGTCAACAGAAAATTAGCACAGGAGGCACTTCCAGAAATTTTCTCTCACTCTGCTGTAACCTCTGAAAGATGTAATTCCATCCACATGACATTTAGGTAGGAAGGATCTCACAGGGCTGGCCCAACATATTGGTGAATTTTCAGCTGTTACCAAAACAAAGTGGGAGTAAAGATCAGGAAGGGTGTGCCTTAGCATTGCAATGATTTATGAAGGGCACCTCACACCCCAGGTGATCATGAATCATAGCTAGTGTCAATGATGGCATTGACACCAACAGTGATTCTGAATGGCATTGGCAATAGCCATCATTCATGAATTAAGCAGTTATGAATAATGCAGAAAGGCAAAGTTCCAGAGAAGAGGCAGGAAGAGACTAAAACAGAGGAAGCACTCAGTCCCAAGGTTATGTCACTTCTTTTGAAAATTTACAAATATAGATTAGGAACATGGAGGTCATGTATCCAACTTTATAGGGGAAAGAGTTGCATTTTATGGTGTCCTCTGTTTAATAGGGCTGTCCAGTCCAAGTCTCATTTAAATATTTAAGAGAAAAAAACATCTGAACATAGGTTTTGAAGTCACTCATCATTTAGCACTTGCACAAGAGACTATGCAGGTCACCTGCTCAGAGCTTTTTGTATCATGATAAGGCATGTCTTACCCATATAAACTGACGTGTACAAGCTATATATTTTTATCTCCTTTTTTGTCATACATTTCTCCTTGGTTGATGATGTTAGTTTGGGAGTTCTCTTCCACAAGCTCATCAGAGGGATCAATCTATTTTTGTTGTGGCTAATGCTACTGTTTTGACTGGTATCATGACAGAACTGGGCCCTGCTAGCTGCTGTTTGACATCTGTAACCATTCTATTTCTGACATCTGGGATTGAGAACTGTACCTCTCACTCTGCAGAAACTGTTGTTCTTCCTACCAAGTTTCATCTCTGCCTGTTGCCACTTATTAAGTGCCACTTGCCATTCTGTTCTTGTTAATATTTGAAAATGCATTATCAATTTATTGTTTTGATATTTGATAGTATTTTATTACACATCCTTATTCTGAAAGCATTTACTGCATTATCATTATACACTGATATTCTGGGTAAAAAGGGAATAAACTGCACTGCAGAAATAATGCACTTTGGAAATACTTTGTCATGGCTTCATCTTATGGAATGCTCAGATTTGTAGTTTGTTGCGGCACCACAGCTCTCTAACAGAGAAGTCGAAATATCTCGCAAAACTACAAATCCAGAATACGATACCATTGCACCATGCCAATAAAAGTGGTGGCTAACTGCATTATTTCTGCAGTGCAGATGCAGCAAAGGTCTTACAACACTGTGCAATTTTCCTGTTCACATTTCTTGCCACTCCACCCCATACCCCTTCCTGACACCTTCTTCTGTTTTTCCCCAACGGCCAAACAGTGTTTCAAGTCCAGCAGGCAAGCTCAGATTTCATTCAATTGTTTCTTATAATGATTTTCCTCTTAGGGTCCGTCTATCTGTGTCCTTCTCTTTCTGTCTGCCTGCTTGTTTGTTTTGCACTTATTGTCAATCCAGTCAGAAATACTAATCTAATGTTGTGAAAACAAAGCCTTTACTGACAGAGCAGTTGCAAAATGTCTGGTCTATAATGATTATAAGTGAACTGTCAGCCATTATGTACTTGGCTGGCTGAAAAAATGAGATTAAAGTGTTTCAAAATATAGTACCATTTGTTTACTACTAGACAAAAAATAATGTAACATAAAAGCTCAAGTGTTACCTTTAATAAAGTTTTTTAAAATAAGGAATCAGTCTCCTTTTTACAAGTCAGATAAAGAGTAAAATAATAGCAAGCCACTTCAGAGACATCTGCAACTTCTCTAAAAAGAAGTAGGTCTTATCTAAAGTTTCTCTCTAAGTTTCAGAGTTTTGGACTTGGGTTTCAGTTTTTCTGGCCAACTGATATATTTCTGTGTAGAGGTAAGTTGTCCCCTGGCCCCAGTATCTTTGGAAGAGATTGTTGTTTGGTTTTCCTCTTTCTTGCATTGGGTGGGATGAGGTAGTTTGCCATTACTTGTTTGTCAGAAAGGCAGAGATGTGAGGGTTTGGCCCTTTTGAGAGATGGGCTAGAAGAAATAAACAGAAACAGAAATATTAAATAGAAGAAATATTAAAGCTGAACAGGCCTGGATAGCAGTAGAGAGATCAAGTGGGACTGAACAAGGTATGTTAACTAAAATGGAATATTGTTGTATTAAAGCACAATAAAATCTTTGTTGCTAACAGTCAAATGTTTCCAGCATTGCTTCATGATACAAGGAATGACACCCTTGCTAATTTCAGCCTCCACTTCAAAAATAATGTTTTTCTCCTGGTGAGTCAGAGCTGCATTCACTCTTCCAGATTTCCTGTCTTCTATTCCAGTGTTGTTTCTTATTTTAAAGGCAGCACTGCAAGCAGTTTGGGTCCCCCTCCCCATTTGTGTTTGATGTCTAAGAAGTACATTATTTTCCAGTGGCAGCATGAAACAAAACCCAGCTTTAAACCTTGGACAGGCTGCTTCTAGGAGCCCCTCTAGTGGCATGTGTCAAACTTGATAAGAGATTGTGATCAGTCATAAAAATAAACAGCCTTAGAAATTCTACTTGCCTCACAAGCTGCAGTGTCACTCGGACTCTGTTAACAGTGGGCACAAATTGTTCAAAGAGGCTTCTGGAAAATGTTTCTGGTTACTGCATAATATTTGAGATGCAGATAAATGATAGAAAAAACTATTTTTTTTAATATTATGCAAAGATTGGTTTTGGAACCCAATTTATCTTCTATGTTTAATGTAGGGATCATCGCCTAAAACACATCCCTCTCCCAATTCCCTATTAGTTATTAGAAAGCTAATTAGCATGCTAATAACTTTTCAAAACAAAATCTTGTTTAAAAACAAGCTTCTGCTCCAATCGATGGAGATGTCTACCGAAGAATTTCTCCTCCTCCCCCCCCCCCCATGGCCCAATTTGCTTCGGGGGAAAACAACTGTATGAATCATATGCATCTGAGCAGAGTTGATCCATAAAGCATTTTTTCAGGCTGCAAAAGCAGCTGCCTGCTCATCTCTTGCCAGAGGTGACACTGGCAGAGACCATCTGGGCATTCAGCCCCTCCACTTTGGAAGAGACAGAAGCACAGCTTTCAAAAGCATACACAAATTATTCTTCAGCGCATGCACATAGCTGTTTTTAGCACAGCTTTCAAAAGCATACACAAATTATTTGTTACAGTGCTTTAATCTACAACTGCAGCAAAATTAACAATCTGTCATCACAACAGGGCTTGGTTTGCTGAACCCAGTGGTTCAAGGGGGGGGGGGGGAATCCAAAATGGCTGCTTCCAAAAGCTAAGTGAAAATAAATTATAGCTGGCTGGCCAAGCAAACAGCCCCAAACATTTGCTCAAAGAAGTTCATAGTTGGTCTGAGGACATGCTATTTCTTTGGAAGGTTAAGAAGTGGTATACATAAAAAATGAACATCTTGAACTGCATCAATCTCAAGTATGATTTCCCTTTGTTTTGGTGTGTTCTGTTATAATTATTACCAGCGTTGGGGCACTTTCCCCCTTTCTGAGTGAATATACACACATAGCCTCTGGAACCTGCCACTGTTCCCCAAGTTCTAGCCTGGGGAACAACTTTAGATGAACTGTGCATACTATTGGCCTTTTAACTGGCTGGCTCCTTTGTGTGTGTATTTGTAAAGCAGCCTACAGCTTTACTTAGCAAGCTATTTCTAAAACTTGGATGTTAGTACACATCTGTGTTTTTCAAGAGCAGCCTGCTTGGACTCACAGAAGTTCAAATATTCAGGGAGAGAGGGAAAAAAATCAGTATCAATCGGGATATATGGAAATACTTACCAATGGCTTTAAAAAATCTTTTCCCCTCTTTAAAAAATGTACAACAGTAGTTGGGCATAAAGATCCAGTGTGGTGTAGTGGTTTCAGTGTTAGACTGTGACTCTGGAGACCAGGGTTCAAATCTCCTCTCAGCCATGGAAATCCATTGGCTGACCTTGGACAAGTTACATTCTCTCAGCCTCTTAGGAAGGCAAAGGCAAATCACTTCTGAACAAATCTTAATACGATGGGCTGTGATAGTTTGCCGTAAGTCATAAATGACTTGAAGGCATGCAACAGCAGCAACAACAAAGTTGGATAGAAGGATCAGGGGCATATGGGGACATATACATTGCATCCTAGAAAGAGAATATTGTGCAATCTAGAAAACCAAATATTGAAAGTATTCAAGAAGAAGAAATAATAATGTTAAGAGGCTGATTAGATAAAATCTCCTAGCATGCTTAGATTTGACACTGATTTCAACATAAGATTTAGATTCTGCAGCATCAACTAAAACTGCCTCACCCCCATTTTTATGCCGTACCATGTTTTCTTTTCTTTGTTTTTGGTTTAATATTGGAGTGAATGATCTGCTTGTCCAGTATAGAAGCATTACCCTCTTGGTTATATTTTTAACCAAAGACTTGTTAACAGGCTACCCCTCCGTGGAATTTCATACTACTCACATTAGATTTTGGCATTAAGAATAAAGACTGCTTCTTTTTTCTTCTGTAAAAACACAAATTAATGAAGCAAAATGATGTGGCAAAAGCTAAAGGACAAGCAGGCAGTTGAAACAAGTTAGTGACACTCAAGTATTCAGAGTTTTCATGGATTCTGCCTTGGGCTGGCATTGGCAGTGCTGACAGTTGCTTCTAATCCATTTGTTTCCCCACCTATAAGCATATAAATAAATAAAGAGATTTGCACGGAAGATGCAAGCAAAATTTAATGGGGCCTTTTGTCTCTCAAATAAAGTGGCCCTGAGGTTCTCATAATTCAGGGAAGAAAGAATGCAAATGGGACATATCAGGACTTATTTCACTGAAATGATGGTGGGAATTTCCATTTAAGAAGTTTTCTAAATACTGTAGAAGACATTGAAAAACATAGAAACACAAAGATCGTCTCCACTTAAGATACTACCCAATATATACCATCATCACAGACAGCAATAGACATCACTTTTTTATTTTATAAAAGTTCTGCACACCAGTAATACAGTGGGTTTCATAGTTATGCTAAGAAAACAACCTGGCTCATATGCAGTGGGCCACAGTGGTTTCTTATCATGAAAATTCACCATGGCAAGTCTCAGGGCCACACAGTTGTTCTTTCCAAATGAATGGAATTTAAAGCCTCCTGCTTTTTGGAACAAAGCAGAATCCTTGTTATGTCTGAATATGGGAAACTGTGGTTTGTTCAAACCATATTTATTTAGGGGGAAAAAACTGGGATCAAACTAGTTTCATATTATTTCTGCATCATAGCAATAGGACGTGTCTTGCCAAACAATGTAATGTAGAGTAGCCAGGGTAAAAACTGGAGATGGTTTCTGTACCTTTAATAGTTGTGCTCCAGAGGGAATTTTAGCAGTTAACAGCAGCAACACCTGCCGGCATTCCCTCTTCTAACGTTGTATGTCAAAATTTACAACAACACTACTGTCTGTACTGACTCCTTTGTACAGGGGGCAGCTAAGACTATTGCCAGAGTCTCAGCTCCTGCTAGTCTGAAGATCATTATGCTATCTGAAGAAGGGTCTTTTACTTGTGTCAATTTGGTTGATGGTTGCAAAAAATAGTTAAGGGCTTTGAAAATTAAGGTAGCGATGAGTCTAATTGGTCTCTGTGGGTGAGACTCCCTGATTCTTACCCTGAAAGGACTTCTTATTCCAATTGTTGGATGTCCTTGTTGCCTGGGATTTTTCATTGCATTCTACCCTCTGTAATCCTGCTTCCTCTTACTCCATCATGTTCTGGCTGGCAATCTTGAACCCTGGCTTTCAAAGATCAGTGCACATGGATCAGCAATTTTAAATTAAATTAAATTAAATTTAAATTAAAAACATTTGAGTTCATATATATCAGTTAACAATGACAACTGGCATTTATTTAATACCAAATGTTAAATTAGAGTAATGTTCCATAGAAACTGCTAAATTTACAAATAAATTCACAGAGTGGTGATTAGGCAAAGTTTAAAAATAAGAAGGAATATATATATATATATATATATATATATATATATATATATATATATTTGAACCTTTTCCATCTGTCATTTTAAAACAGCAAAATGGGAATATTCTGATACAATGGACCTTTTAAAATGTTTGCTTTTTCTGATAATTCTGATTTACTAGGAAAACACTAAATCACAACAGAATAATCTCTCACTCTCTTTCTAGTGACAGATTTATTATGAAAAACTAATTAAAACTATGAAAGCCAGGGATGATTAACTCGAAATAGGAGCATTTGAGTATGTCAGATGTTTAAAGATGGTTTTTAAATCACTACATCTAGAAAGTTCTGATACTAAAGAAAGGAATGGATTGAAAGTAGCAGGTAGAGGAGTGTATATCAAGAAAAGGTTCAAGATGACACCTTCTTTCCAAATCCTTTTTTAGGTTAACAACTTTGGAAACGAAGAGTTGTCAAATGTTGGCAGGGACTAATAATCTTACTGACACTGGATCCCCTGCTGTCCCTGGGTGGAAAAATTTCACTATGGAACATCCACTAGAACTTTCTCTGAATTGATGCCCCTAGATGTGTTTGTTTGAGGAACTGTGGAAGTTGCAGTCCAACACTCCTGAAGGGTTCCAGGAAAGCCCACAATAAGGGCTATCTATGTATATACACATTACAGTTACTAATATACAACTACATGCATCACTCAAGTTGAAAGCATATGCTCATCTCAGACGTCACACCAAACCAAGATTAAGGATTGTTAACTACAGTTTAGCATGTTATCTGACAGGATAAGACATCATTCCAGAGCCTAGATAGATATACTGACATCACTTTGGCTCCAGAGCATGCTTGTTCTGTTCATGCCTCACAATAAAGAAGGAGAGAACCTATGAAACTGTGTGTACTGAAAGGATTAAGCATGAAAACTGACATGCAGCTCTTAACCATGAGTTGGGTTCTGCTACCCCTGGTTAGCAGAAACACAGTAAACATCATTGCTTAGAAGTGGTAACAATTATCATTTTGCACACTGCATGTGCTCCAAGTGTTTCAATAACCCTTTCAACAACCCAGTAAATTAACCCAATATTAAAATATTCACTGTCAGTGTGGATTACCCACTCCTTACTGTAGCAACCCATTCAACCCAAGCTTTGAATTCAAGGAGTTAGGCTCAATTTTTCCAAGGCACAGATTCCCTCTACCTTCAACTACCTTCAGTCCCAGCCTTGAGTTTGAGGAGTTGGGATCCATTTTTCCAAGGTACAGATTCCCTCTGCCTTCAACTACCACCCCAAATATAGATTACATTTTTGGAACTGAGAGAGTCACATTTGGTGCCCTCCTTCCATAAGGCATATCCAAAGTAATATGCCCCCCCCCTTTTCAGATTTCCCAATTGCTGAACCTAGCTATTGACCCAGAATTCGTGTTTCCCAGACTACTGATTTACAGTCTTAAACAGAAGCACACAAATCTTCCTCCTCTTACATATTTTATTAGAAGGAAAAGAAAAGAGCCTGGATGCGACTTGGACCAATTAGCTGTGGAATTTATAAATGTGGAATGTTACTTCCCTGACAGCCAGTAGTGGTTTGAGCAATGACCAATGACTCAGGAGACAAGAGTTAAAAGCCCTGCTTTGTGGGCATGGAAACCCACTGGGTGACCCTGGGCAAGTCCCATTTTCTCAGTGCTAGAGGAAAGCAAGGGCAAAAAACAAAACAAAATCAAACAAAAACCCTAGAAAAATATAGGCAAGAAAGCCTCATGATAGGATCGCCATAAGTCGGAAACAATTTGAAAGTACATGAGAACAAGAATGAAAATCATCTTAAAGCAGGAGTAGGAAGTTATGTGTGGAATATATACTGTCCATGCTCCGTAGTCCTGCCACCCCTGGACCCACCAGGAGCTACACTTTTGTGAATTGCTTTTTTGGGAGGGATAAGAAGGTATGGGAGGTTCACCTTGTGTCATCTGAGAATTGTGCTCTTAGAGGATTCTGGAGCTGCACTTCTGAGTTTCTAAATAAATAAATAAATAAAATACTTTTTGTAGTTCTGGGGAAAGTTTCTGGGAGCCACACAAGGCTACAGGTTGCATGCTGCCCATCCTTGGCTTCAACTGTATACAGATCATCAAACCAGGAGCCCAGAAAACATTGGAAATATAGCAAAATAACCTGATCACATCCAATTAGACAGCCTAAACTACTCACATCCTGTACGTTTCAGCTTTTAGTCCTTCCTGAAGTAAGGATTGTAGTACTGGGACAACATGTCTGGGTCACATGGTTCCAGGAGCCACACACATTTCTCCTTCCACATCCACAGAAGTTCCTTTTCTCTTAATATTTCCATTGAATCTTGCCAGGTCACTTCTTGTTCCCTTTGTAGGCTCACCTCTGTGATATTAACCCTTTGCATGCACTGAACATTTATCAGATGAGCCAATTATAACATTTAGGAAAAACGTATTATTCTTCCATTTATTTCATTACTTCTTACTACTTATTGAATAAGTAGAGTTGGTCTGACAACTAAGGGCAAGAGAGAATGAATACTACTTAAAGTACTCCAGGAGTTAATAGACAATGAGATGCTTCAGCCAAGGATTTTTTGTGGGGCAGAACTCCCAGTATATTGGTAATACACCAGCTTTCCAATTTAATGATGAGACCTATGAAAGTTCTGACAGTACTGTGATGACTTATTCACACTTAAGCTATAATAAATAATAATAATATTTTTTTATTTGTAACCCGCCCCTCTGCTCAGCAATCGGGGCAACGTACAGCAGGCTAAAAAAGACAACGATTAAAACATTCCTTCCTCCCACACCCTAGCCCTCCCACCCCTTAAAACTAAATTAAACTGCAATAGAATTAAAATCAGGTTAACACAGATAAAATACAATAAAAACAATTTTTTTGGCAGACGTGCCGTAGCATCAAG